GCATTCACACCCGTCCCCGAGGGATGCAGGAAACCACAAAACAGCCTTGGACCTCATGAGCAGGAGGCAGAAGTCTGCAGAGTGGATGTAACTCCTGACAGCTAATGCCAAGCCAGGAGGAAACTTTCAACTGAAACCCCAGCAAAAAATGGGCACAAATCCAAAACTGAGGAGGGGCTTGGCCATATAGCAAATGTCCCATATGGAACTCACAGCCAGGATTTACATCCAGGCGAGATGAAGCCAAAGGCGAGACGGGGTCCTCCCACCCTCAGCAGTCTGGAGCCAAAGGAGAGGGGCCAGCAAAACAGCACCAGGGTTGGAGTTGCATCAGCTGCGGCCCTGCAAGCCCACAGGCGTGAGCAGCATCTCCTGGTCAGGGAGTTACCCCCTGGCACGAGGCTCTGGATTTTGGAAACCTCACAGAGCAGAGAGCCCACAGTCCCAGAGCCGCCCGGGGTCCCAGCTGGCGGGAGGGAAGGCAGGAGTCACCTGGGAGAGAGGAAAAGGTCCGAGGGGCAGAGTTGGGGCAGGAGGGATGTGTTATTGTGAAGAGGGCATTTGTCTGCCCTGGAGGAAGGAAGAGGAGGGTTGGCCCCGCTCCTGCAGGCAGGTGCATGGCTGAATTTATCTGGGGGGAAGGAAGCGGGGAAGGAAGGGAGCCCAGAGCGCTGGACGGCTCCATCGGACCTCACGGGCAGTCGTGGAAAGAGGCCCAGCAGCGATGTGGCTTCACATGGCTCGGCAGGACACAGCTGCAGCAGGAGGTGAGGGTGCAGTGAGCCCCCCAAAAGCTGCGGTGTCAGGCTGGGCTCTCCTTGGCCACACGATGCCCCGAACAGCGCTCACCCCAGTGGCACTGCACCCCAGCAGCCAGGGAAATGCTTGTTCCCAGGCAGAGTCTAAAGGCTCCATGTGCTTGTGCAAACCACAAGACACAGTAAAAGAGAGCAGTGGGTTTGCTCCGCTTATTCCCAGAGAGCCAACAAAAAGTTTGCCTCGGCTATGCAGCGTCAGGAACAGCCAGCTCCCCCTCCCCACTCCACCAAGTCCTGTGCAAGGTCAGAGACAGGAGTGGGAACTTCCTCAGCTGCGGATCAGAGGGGACTGGAGTCTTGCTGTTTTCTAAGGCACCGGGGAAAAAAAAAAAAAAAACACCCACAAACGAAAAAGCACCAGAGTCAGCATTTTAAGCAAGGGCAAGAACATCATCCTTCAATCTGCACTTCCTTGATTGCTGTGACAGCACCTTTCACAAGCCGGGGTGTCTCCCCAGGGGGCAGGATGGGG